TATGACATGTATATGGATTGTTTGGCAATGATAAACCGGGCCTTGCACAAACTTCAGCAAGGAAACGTTCAATGAAATCGGGATCCGTCTGATATTCCTCAAGAAGTCCAGACACAGTCTGCACCTCCTAAGGAAGTCCAGGCTAGCGATACTGATTTAAATAAAACGTCCACTCACACTTGTCGAAATGTGGGTAATCAGGCCGCTAGCTCCCCAATAACAGGTATTGGGAATCCTAGAGGTAATTCGAGTTTCATTGTCGATCCTCCGAACTCCGATATGGTTCATAATCTGGCGTTGCCTCCTTGTGATACGGATGTCTTCGAGGGCGATTTTCTTTCGTGGCCAACCTTCAGAGATCTTTTTAACGCGGTCTTTATAAACAATTCTCGATTGAGTGATATTGAGCGTCTTTGTCATTTGACACGAAATACTAGAGGGGAAGCTCGCGAGATTGTTTCTAAATTCCCCTTAACGAACCGCAGATTTGGTCTGGCGTGGAACGCATTGAAAGCCACATACGATAATCCTCGTTTGTTGATTCATAATCAGTTTCAAATATTATTCGCTTTCCCGGTACTTCAAGTTGAGACAAGTTCGGGTCTAAAGCAAATCCAGCGTGGTATCAATGGTTGCTTGTCCGCAATGTCCATTTACGACGTTCGTACGGATAATTGGGATCCGTTCTCAGTTTTTATTTGTCTTCAACGGCTTCCGAAAATTACACAAACATTGTGGGAGCAAAGTGTTAAAGTCAAGTCATCTGTTTCGCTTTGGGAAGACCTCGATAGGTTTTTAACGGAACGGATTCAAACACTCATGTGTCTCCATGGTATGCCAGGAAATGACTCAGTCAAAAAATCTGGCGATAAATATCTTCAAACCCATGTCATGAAATCATATCCTTCTCGAAAATCCCCATCTTCTCCTAAGAATGATTGTATTCTTTGCCCTCAACAGTCCCATCAGCTTTTTGAATGTCCTCGATTCAAAAGTATGTCGCTATCAGCTAGATTTTCCACAGTGAAACGTCGTAGATTGTGTGTGAATTGTTTGCGTAGGGGGCACGAGGTGAAAACTTGTATTAGTCAGCATCGGTGTTCGAAATGTAGGCGTAGCCATCACACATTATTGCATCGTAGTGACATATCACCCAATAATTCTATTTCTTCGGTTGGTTCGGTAAACCGGAATCCTTCAAATTCACCAAATCCTGTCCCCATCAATCCTTCTGTCCCATCCACATCAACTAATGTTTCTCGGCAAGTTTTCCACACGGCTCATAATAAATCCGTTATATTGGGGACAGCTATTGTAAATATCGTCCATTGTGGTGTTTCGTATCCCGCTAGGGCTTTAATAGATCCAGCCTCAGAATCATCGTTTCTGACTCAAGGCTTGCAAAATAGGTTGAAACTCCCTGTAAGTTCAACAGATGTCACTATTTCTGGGGTGAATTGTGCAATTTCGGCCAATTCTAGTAAAGTTCGCTCATTGAAAATTGGAAGTCCTTGCGATCCTACAGTGTTGTTAGAAACTCGTGCATTGGTTTTGCCGTCTATTTCTGGGAATTTGCCCTCGTTTAATGTTTCGTCGGATTTTAGAGCCCAAATGCCAAATATTCGTTTGGCAGATGATGATTTGTTAAAATCCCGTCCTGTAGAACTTCTTTTGGGTGCAGACTTGTATCCAAAAATTTTGTTGGAGGGTTGTCAATCAATTCTTTCTGGGACTTTGCTGGCTCAAAATTCAGTTTTCGGGTTACTTGTAACTGGAACTATCCCATCGTCGGAGATTCGTACCTTTGACACTTTAGTTGATCGTCAAAATTATAATAGAAATTATATGGTTAGATCGAATAAATCGGAGCTATCCACTTTTGCCCGCTACTAATTGGAGTAGCGTAATGTGTTCGTGCATCTTTTATGGAAAGTAAAGGGTTTTGTTCGACGGAATCTCTTCCTGCATTGTCATAGCTGAGTAAAATTCCTTTTAAGGCATTAACTACAACTGTGGGTCGATTCAGTAACTTTTAACGATCCGACAATCGACAATTTTGTCTACACATAAAATCGTTTGCAGTATCGAAAATGTTATTCTGTAAAAATGTGGACAAATTGTCGATAAACATTCAAAAAGCTTTTAATTTTGAACATTTTGAAAACAAAATACATACAAATTCAGAACAAAACAAGGCATGTTCAATATTGAAAAATATTTGTCGATAAGTTAACTTCGAATATTTTGGTGTTGTTTATTAACAAAATTTTTAACAATTGTTGTTAAACACTGTTATAGAATTGAAATATTGTTTATTTTGTCGTTATATTTTATCGATTTGAGAATTGGTTAAATTTGATAGTGAATCGACCCACTGGTGTAGATTTCGTTGTTCCTTTCAAGGTAAATTCTTTCACAGGCCCGTTTTGCAAGATTAACAAAGGATATGTTGGTATATTCCTACGTTTCTCATCAAATTTATTCCACTCCATATTTTCGAAAAATGGTACGACTTTTGAGGTCGTTTCTCGTGATGTACGTCGCAAGTTGGTGCATATCAATTGTGAAAATCGTGATTCTATTTCGCCGCTTTGATACTCAGGGACTATTGTGGTATTTTATTCCAGCTGGTGTTCCACATTTCACTGGACTCTGGGAAGCAGGAATAAAAAGTTTTCCCTTCTGAACATGTCGTAATTGACTAACCTATATCGCTTGTGAATAGGTTTCGTAAAGTTCAAGAGCTTGCTAATTTGTTTTGAAGTCGTTGTAATTCATAACGAGAAATTGCACGGTAATGGTTGTCACGTCAGAATCGTTGACGTTCGGTCGACAACGGGCATTGTAAAGCGGCCTATTTTTAAATTGATTGCACTGAAACATAAACGGAGTCCGTCACTGCGGATCCGAATCCAAAGTAAACAATTTCTAAGAAAATAAAATCGAAATCCGTTTCTGCGGATTTAAGCAATACTAGACCCGTATCTGCGGGTTCCTTCACAACTAGTAATCAAAGTATATAATTCATAACTGTGGGTTCAATCGTGATAACTTCCTTGCAATTCACGCCATGTTCGTATGGTTGAATCAGGGAGAACGTCCGTTACTGCGGGCGACTCGTATGCTCCCCAGAAACATAGTTGTATTATAAGTAAGCTAACTGTTTCAAGTTTGAATTTGGAAAAAAAATCAAAAATCTCAATTGCTCGCCCACACTGCACCGCCTACCATATTATTATATATTACTTTAAGTAACTATCAAAATTGAATTTCAATTCCCCCTTTTCAAGAATTCTGATTATTTTCGAATTATGATTTCTTGAAATTCTTTAATTTTGAAATTCTTTTAATTTATAAGTGTTTTCGGTCATATTACTTATAAAATACCGAGGAATATTTTGGTATACATCTTTAAACCTCAACCGACTCATTGAAGGGGTCTTTTCGGTCCCCTTTTGCAGAAGTGATTGAAAAGTCATTCAAAACGGGGTTAAAGGTGCGCTGAATATCCTGCAGAAATGTTCGCCATAATGTTTTACTATAAGTTTTAGAATAGACTAAAACTCAAAAATCAGCATAAATGTCAAAAATCTTACTAGTTTTAACACATTTTTCCCACAAAATGTTTTGAAAGGATGGTATAAGTAACAAAAATATTATCCATCAATTTTTAGCATAAGGAATTCTCTAAAAGGTACAATACCAACATTTTTATATTTTACATATTTCTTTTTATAAAATATATTTGAAATAAATAAAAAATATTTGTTTTTATTACACTGCGAACAAAATGGGAATGGAACGGTATGGATATTTCAAAATTGACACCAAAGAATGTGCATTGGACACCGCTATGGTGACAATTTCTGACCATAGATGGAGTCATTTTATACACGCTGTTATCAAAACATATAAAATGCATTACAATTTTTACAAAAAAGGCAAACTCGATATGGATTGAAAATCAAGTGAGACGAACAAAGAAAAATTGTAATAGATCTGGGGGCAAATTATGAATTAACTCGATATCGAGTTAATTCTGTTTTACTGTTTGGTAAGCAAGTTCTTGTCTATCCCTCCAAACAAATTTTGCCTTTGTTTTACAAAGATCGTTTATAACTTTAATTAATTAATTTTCCCTTCGACGGTCTTGACATATGCTGAATTGCATCCTTCTATACTGCTTAATAAAAATAGAATCCGACTGTATTGAAACTTGTACTTCTGCTTACAGTCATTTCTAAAAATTGTGGAAAATGCACGTAAATAAACATTTTAATATAATATTGTTCGTGTATTTTTTATTGATTCCTCCAATAATTAAGATTTTATGCAATACTAAGTAAAAACAAATTAACATATATAGTGATATGAGATTTTAAGAGTCATAACCCTAGTAGACACACACCATTATAAGAATTGGTTAAGGTGAATTATTTGTAATTACAATTATTATTAAATTGACCTGTTCATATAGCGAACATGTACTTCATATAGTCAAGTTAGTGAATGTCTTAATGTGAAAATCTTGCGAAATGAGAAAAAATTAGTTAAACTGGGGTATATTTTTGAAATTTTTCTTCTCGAATGTTTGTACACTAAAAAAGATAGGATTTTTCTATTGCAACATGAGGTATGCTTGGGTTAGATTACAGGGAGTAATCTACACTACTGACGATAATCATGTGTAGTGTTTTTGCTTGCCACATATGAGGTAATTGTGTGTCTCCTCTCTGTGTTATGACAGATGTGTTCACTCTCTCCTTTACACATTAGTCTAAAATAGGTTAAGTTATATTGTCATAGTTAGTTAAAAAATATTTTATATTAATAAATTAGTGTGTAAATGCACATAGACTTGAATTAGCCCTGCACGCACTTCACGGAGATAATCCGTGCTGGAAAGGGAAAAGATGCCCCTGTTTAATATGGTCCTTGAATGTATAATTTGGCTTCATTTGCAAAGTAAATTAAGAAATTAAATTACATATAAAGCTTACCTATTAAATACGATGCTTTGAAGTCAAAGTAACGCATCAGTATTCCAATTGTAAACAAACTGCGGCGAAACATTGGTGTATAGATATTTTCAAATATTTGGTTATTTTGAGTAATTTGGCTCCTGCTATAATCCAATATTCTATAAAACCTAGAAAAAATAAAACAAAAGTTGTTATTATATACAGTGAATGCTTGGCAAACCAAGTAAAACAGCGTTATATATTTTGTTGTTGTATGGTTTATTTCTTTTGACCGATCGTATGTCCGTTCGCCTTCGCTTTCACACTGAGAATGCCTGTGCAACTCATCACTAGTTCAACGAGACTATATAAATTTACTGTAAAATTTCATTCGATTTCCTTCACAAATAAATAAAAAGCGTTTGTTCGTAAAACTTCAGGTTTAAAGTTGATGACATGTTGTTTAAGCATGAATTGCTATTTGAAATAGTTAAACAGATAGCCTTTGATTTAAAGGTCATAGCCGTTGAAATCTGTCTACTCCTCTTTATTATACTCCTGTAATAGTATGGGCTTTATTGTAAGCCACCGCACATATTGTTGTGTATATCATTTACCAATAATAAAAACTCAGCATTGGTCGACACCAGTTTATTAATAAAACTATCGTCTTTTTATTGGGAGGATGTTTATGTTAACAAAATATAATTTCATAAAACCCCATATTTAATTGAAGATAATTCATTTTAATAAATGTTTAAATAAATTCGCATTAGCCTACCATATTATACCACATTACCCGCTCATTTTCATAACGATGTGAAATGCACATTTTTACTTAAAATATCACTGGAACTTTGCAGACAATTCTAAATAAAGAAGTTGTTAAGCCTTTAAATTACCTAAAATCTTGATATATCAAATCTGGTGGTAACGTTATACACTGGTTATATTCATAATCCTTGGTCAATATCTTTGAACTTATAAAAACAACACAAAGCATGTTTCCGATACCAAAATGTGCGCCTATCACATATAAAAGTGACATCTGTTACAAAATTTGTATCACAGAGAAAACTAATATACGAGGATATTGCCAAAACATGGACGAAAAGTACCAACTATTGTATGAGCGTAACGGAGCAGAGTCCAACCAGTTACATTTGATTCAGCGCAAATTCAGTATATCCGTTAATAAATACACAGGATTTGAAAAGATGCGTTGTAAAAAGGGAAGTTAGTTGCAAATTCGTGCCACCAGAATAACAAATGATAGTTCAAAAGTAAAGGAATAACGAATAATTTTCGACATTTTAGACTTGATTTCAATTTCTATTAATCTTTTGGGCTAAGAAATGCCCATGAAAATTATTGGTTTAGATAAACATTTTATATCCCACACACATACCGATCGTAATTATGGCAACGGAAGTTATAGCACAAATTTCAACACAATTTTTTGCATATATATCTATATATATATATACTAGTGGCCAAAACTAAAGCATCTGAAATTCAAAATGAATAAATGACCTGTAAGTTTTTTGAAAATGAAGTTATAGTGAAAGTTGTTTCACTATCGACAGTAATCGACGGCATAACCATTGTTTTTCATTACACCTACGAGGCGTTGAATCAATAGAATGTTGAATTTGATCCTTGGGTATACTATTCCTTGCATCCAGAACCTTTGAGAAAAGGCTATGTCTGTTTGTATTTGAAACTCTTTTGATTTTGCTATCTATGATACTCCAAAGATTTTTCTATGGGGTAAAGATCTAATGATTGTATTGGCTATTATAAAGGCCGGATTTTTTAACTTCCGCAACCAATCCTTGGTTTATGTTGGGTGGAAATTTTCAATCTGAAACATTCAAACATGCGGTATTTTTTCTTCAGGGAAGGAAACCAACACATTTGTATAGATTATCCGACCCATTACTTTATAAATCTCGTAAATATATCGAACTTCATAAAAAGGAAAACCACCCAATACCATTATTGACCCTCCTTCATGCTTAACAGTACCCTTGCAATACTGAGCCTTTCATTTATGGACATTCTCACGGTAATTTTTTCATGTCCGAGTCTTTAATTCATCAGAGAGTAAATATTACTCCACTGAGTCGCATTCCAAATAATATGAGCTTTTGCGAAAGGCGATCTAGGTTTCCTGTTCTTTTCGGAAATTATAGAATTTTGCATAAAATCAGCATACAATTCGAAAAATACACATTTAAGGGTTCAGCGGAATTGGTGAGAGGGTTATAGTTGATTATAACCTCAGGAACAGAGCGTAGACGAGCTGTGGTAACAGGTGTACATACCCGAAAACCGACTCACTGAAGAAATAATATGTTCCCAGATGAATTAAAGTTTAATATTTAAGGCTTGCTGTGTGAAGGTCTAAAAATGAAAGACTTGGGTCTCAGTATTGCAAGTATACTGAAGGCGGGTCAATAATGGCATTCGGCTTTTTTCTTTTTATGGGTATATCAGCATGACAATATGTCAAAAATCAGAGGTTTATAATAGCCAGCAATCATCAGATCCTTACCCTGTAGAAAAATATTTGTACTATCATATAGAGCAAAATAAAAAAAGAGTTTCACAAACAAACAAAGGTTCCGGATACGAGGGTGTACTATTCTTCTAACGATCAAATTGAGCCTTTTAAAAAGAAATAAAAATAATGCTTTCGATTACTAGCAAAGTTCACTTATTTATAAGAAAAAATCAAAAAGTTGCTATAGTTTTGATCATGAAGAAATCAGTTCTATAGAAATGTTTCTATTTCAAAAAATTTTGGGTTCATATTTTTTGTTTGTTTTTTTAAGTGAATAAATTACCAATTTATTTCTGAAAAACTTTCACTATAAGAATATTTTAAAAAAAGTTACAGGTCATTTATTATGTTCGTAATTTCAGTTCCTTTAGTTTTGGCCACCAGTGTTTTGGTGATTCATATTGATTTAGAATCCTATATGGTATGTGTAGGATAATATCTACCTACCCAGTAGAAGGTAATCGTGGGTTTATGTATTATGGGTATAAAACAATTGTATACCTTATTTAAATTTGATATATAACCGATTTGGTTAAAAAGCTCAAATTCAAACCCAATTAGAATACAAAATACCACCAATTTGGTTGGAAAACGCACACAAAATACTCAACAATCCAAAATTATGGGTGCTACCCAAAATTAATCATTTTTAATAAGAATATGTGTTACACAATGGGAACATCTTTGAATTGTATCATCAGCAGGAGACTTAAGTTTAAGTTTATGAACGGTCACAAATTTTTTGACAGAGAACATGTCAAGGCGTCGATTGATGCAACTGCCATTAAAATATGCTTTGGCACTAGCTGAAACTCAATTTTTGTAAAAAAATGATATTTATGAATTTATAGATTTATATTTAAATTAATAATAATTTTACCATTTATTATAATCACCAGTTCCATCTCTTAAATTGACCAGCATTTCATGATAATATATTTATATATATTTTGACACATGTCAATGTTATATAACATTTTTCAAATATAATTCATTTTAATTAGACCTGATGCATTTTTTAACCGTGACCCACAATGATACAGTAGTGGACATTCGTTTGAGCGCGTATGATGTTTTTGAGATTTTACTATGAAAACACATTATAATTATACATTTTTTTAACAAAATGGTGAATTTATTTAAGGTATCGAATATCAAACACAAACCAAAGACATTTTTCATACACTTTTTGAAATAACTTAAAATAAAGTATATTTTGCCTATTTTCCGGACATTCGTTTGAGCGCAGTTCATTTTAAAATAAAAAATGGCGTATATTAGCATGTCCACCGCTATTTAAGTAACCAAAATTAAGTACCAAATTTTGGACAGTATTCCTTCACAGCATATTTAAGGTAATTTACAAAAGAAAACTTTATACCGAGTCATATACTTTTGTCACAGTAATCTCGTATAAGTTTTCAAAAGGGTGACAGTCTGGAGTGCAAGCCGTCAATTTCGGCCCGATCTCCTTCAAATCTAGAAGGTTTTATACTCTCGGCCAGCTGAGTGTCTAAGCATATTTGGAAAAAATCGGTAACATTATATAGTAACATTTATATTAACGATACAATTTTATTCCTCTTCCATCCAATCGAATTCGCTTATAATGTAATGTTTAAAGTCTGTTATATCTGTGCTCATTTTTCTATTTTGGCTTAAATCAGCGACTACCACCTGAACGGATCATCCTTGCAGCCTTAGATCTGTCCCAGGCGTTTGATATGGTCGATCATTCCGAGCTGATATCCGACATCACAAATTCCCTTCCGAGGGATATCAGGCGTTGACTTTCCAACTTCCTTAATTGGCGGCAAGCCCTCGTTAAGTTGGTGGCCAAAAATCCAAATATCGCAAGATCAAAATGGGAGTACCACAAGGCGGTGTCATATCTCCCATTTTGTTCAACATGTATCTTGAGAAACTCCGCATTTCACCACCAGGGGGCTGATGCTGGGAGTCGATAGAGAAATAATTGCGTATCGAAAATAATTCCGATCGTTCGCAATTTTTTTTTCATTTCATTTATTTAATATCAATACATAGGAAGCCCAATAGGGCTAATTAGTAATGTATTGTAGTGATAATATTATGCTAAAGTTATAAGTAAATTAAAATATAACTGTAATACAAATTCAATAATTGTATACATTTTGTCGATTATATAGGCTCCCCAGCCAGATGAACACTACTAAAATAAATATTAGAGTTATAAAGGTCCTATGGCAGTTAGCTAAAAATAAATATCGAAAATTTTTTTTTAAATAGGAATACCATTAATATGGTTTAATATCAATGTTCTGAACGAATTATATGAGTATATAAAGCGCTTAAGATGATTAGGCAAATAATTCCAAAAACGATAAACGCGAACAAAAAATGATTTTTCGTATATCACGGCGTGTACCAGTGGGATATCAATTTGAATATTCCGTGTCGAGTTAATAAAAGTGAATTGATTAACCAGAACAGTGGGGCTGGATGTTTTCATAATTTTATAAAAATTAAGAACCAAACGGAGATTAATATATTCACGAAAATAACAACGCAAAAATGTACGCGCATATTGCAATACACGGTAGTGGTCTCTTACGCGCCGGCTATCCGCTGAATAAAATCAAT